TTATGAAAATTATTCCTTTTATCTCTTTAAACATCCAAAATGTACCTTCTGGGCTGGGCTCATCTCCTGCTTTAGGCAGCTGGCTCTCTCTCTGCACCTATCTCTGCATGTTTGGATGTCTGGCAGCTTCATATCCTGGATTCCAGATCACGGCGAGCAGAGTCTCCTGACTTCTCATGGTAGTGGGTGATTTGCAAATTTGGTTTCTGAGCTATTAGGAGGTGTGTGGCAGAATCCAGTCCAGTGTTAATGTCAGTGTACAAGATTGGGATCCTGCACTCACCCAAATGTGTTTGAGCGTTGATTCTTACAGTTGTCCAACCTGATAAGTCCCCGCGATTCCTTCTGTCCTCAAGGAGGGATGGAGGACACTTTCAGTCCACCTTTCACAGATGTGTGGGGCAGGAAAGCTCCAGAATTGACTGGGGAAGGGGCAGCTTAGCTCACACTGCCTGACTGGCAGGAGCCCACTCCCTGTCTCCTGCCCACCCCCATCAGCACCCCAGGTCCTCGTACTCCACATCCTGCCCAGCAGCACCCCCTGTCTTCCTGTCCCCGCAGTTCTCATCTGACACCTGGAGAGTTGACTTTCTTTTAAACCTTGGCAATGAATTTCCTTCCCATCGTTTCTTTCCATGGGTTGTTAATAGGACTGTACGTTGACTTCAGCCAAGACTGTCATGTACTGGAAATTTTCCATAGTTCCTGAACAACTGCAGAACGGTAACTTCTGAGAACCCATTTTCAGCACTGCTTCTTATCTTTGTCCTTCGTGCTGTGTGCCAAAGTGGAGCCAAAACCCTGCACTCTTCCTCTGGGTAGTTTGGACACATCACAGAATGTCTTTCATTCTCTGCTTTTTAAAAAAATCTTTTTTTTTTTTTTTTTTTTTTGCAGTATTAGAGTTTGAACTCAGGGTCTGCACCTTGAGCCACTCCACCAGCCTTTTCTTGGTGATGTGTATTTTTGAGATAGGGTCTTGCAAAGTACTTCCCTGGGCTGGCTCCGAACCACGATTATCCTGATCTCTGCCTCCTGAGTAGCTAGGATTATAGGCGCCTGGCAGTCCTTCCTCATTCTTTACTATTATTTTAATGAGGTCTCCAGAGTTAGAGGACCGTTTCCTCAGTCTAGTCTTGAATGAGAGTTTGGCTGAGCACTCAGTGTTGCTGGGTAAGCTTGCTTTTATTCTTTTCTCTTTTGGTCCTAGGTTATCCTTCCTAACATCTGACATCTGCTAATTCCATCCCTCCCCGCGCCCCATGCATAGCAAAAACACAGAAACCGTCAGATGGGAGTCCCTCCTCCTTCTTCAGTCTGCAAACTCACCCCTCCTACTGCCTTTCCATACCTCTTTCCTTTCCTTCCAGAGAAAAAGGTTCCCCCTCTTCCAGCCCTCCACTCACCCTTAGCCCTGGGAGCTATTCATGGGGCCCTGTCCCTACCCCACTGTCCTTCCTCCTTCCCAAACCATGTCCATACCCAAAATTCTGAAATCTTTACATTCAGCTCTGATCAACTTCCTTTGGATTTTTATTTCTAATTGTCATCTGAAAAATCTTTGCTCCCATCCCAGTGGTTGTCAAATTCAGCCTGTCCACAGCTGACAACTTCCTATCTCTGAAAAACTCAGCTCCTTCTTATGTCTTCCTGACTGTGATGTTGTTACTATGACCCGTATGTCACCGCAACTACAAGTTTGGGTGGTTATTTTACTTGCTTGAATATTTTTAGAACTCTATTGACAGATCCAATAACCACCAGCCACATAAGACTACTTAAATTTGAATTGAAATTAATTATAATCAAGTATAATTTGAAAGTCAGTTTCTTGTAGCAGGTGCTCTGTAGCCTCATGAGTCCAGTAGGCTTAGCTTGGTTCTTGATTAGCCCTGACTCCAAAACACAGATTTTGTAACAGGAAACATACTTGCATTCATAAAAATATCTTCAAAGAACACAAACATGGAAGCTTAAAACAACATAAATACATTATTTCAAAGGAGTCCAGGAGTCCAAAATCAAGGTGTCAGCAAATGGCCACATTTTCACAGGCTCCAGAAAAGAGTCCTTCTTTGTCTCTTCCAACCTCTGGTAGCTCCTGGCCTTCATTGGTTTAGGGCCATCCTCTGCCCTCTGTCCCCATGCTTTGTGTCTGTCCCTCAGTTTCCCTCTCCTTTCGGTTCTAAGTGTGCTACTCATTGGGTAAAGCCTACCCTAAATCTGGAATGTTTTCAGGTAGAGACCCGTAATGACCCATCTACAAAGACCCTATTTTGAAAACAACAAAAAAATCCCATTAACAGATACTGTGGAGTAGAATTTGAGCATACCTTTTGGAGGAACACAATCCAGCCCATTTCAGTAGGTGACAATGTCACTGAGGGCTCTGATACTGTATCTGCCCTTCCCCTAAGCCTTCCTGAGCTGACTCAGCAAACACGTAGCCCTCAGTTCTGTGCATTTATTAATTAATTAGGATCCCCACACCAAATTAAGATGGGGAGAAGGCTGTGTAACCCATGCAGTTGTCTCTTTCCATGATTGGCTTACTACACCCTTTGGCTAGATCCCCACCCCCTACTGCCTAACAATTACTAAATAATTAAGCATAGCCCAAAAGAAACATGCTTGCTGTTCTTTAGTTTTTAAAGACATTCCCTGGATCTAAGCTTTTAAACTGAGAAAGAGTATTTAGATGAATTTTAAGCACACATGCACGTACACACACCATGGGAAATCATCACAGATAATTGTCTCTACACAGTTAGAACACAGGTTCTTTTTCTGTTTTGATTTGCAGTGTCATATACCTCATCCACAGAGAACATAGTTCCCTTTTGTGATCAGAAGAGTAAACATGTCTATAAAACATGGCTAGTTTTAATGAGGTGGTTATGAATTGTCCAGGACGATTTGTATTTTTAAAAAAGCAAGATGAGTAGGCCAATGGAGATTCTAGCAATAGGCCAATAGCAATAGCGATTGTTTTACACAGACACTGTTTGAGTCTGAAGTGATGTTGACATTGTTAATTATTCAGGACCTCATCAGACTTTCGTTGCAGTAGAAATTGAGAGCAAGTCTACCCCCAGTGCCTGATGGGAATGTGGGCCTTTTCCCTTTGTGTCATCATGAACTGTCCATACCGACATTGTTCTTAGTGTTTTGGAGACCAATCCAGAATGACCCTTGTCAGCTCTCACCAGGAATGCGGTTCGGCTCTGGCAGGCTCATCTGTGCACTGTTCTGGGGTGGGCCCCACGCTCCCATCAGCTCACAGTTCCTGGAACACAACAGAGTGTGAAGGCGCTTTTGAGCTGTTTCACTATTGAAGGCAATTTGCTCCGAGTGAATCTCCCTATTTTAGGCTTCTAATATGTTGATAAATTATTGAAATTTCAATTACTTTGGGTTCCCAAGTTAGCAGGGTGTAGACATTTCATCTGAAAAGCTTTCCAGTAGCTTTTAGACAACAGGACTGCGTTCTTGTTCTCTGCCCTTGCCTGGAAGGGCTGTAGCGCTCTACATGAGACTAAAGAGCATGGTGGCCTTGAGCGGACCTTAGGTCAGCTGCCTACCGTGTGGTCCCCTGACCTGCAATGCAGCATCAGCTTCTTTTGGGAGCTCATTAGATATGAAGTTTCCTGGCTTATCCAGACCCACTGATTCTGAACCCCTGCGGGTGTTGCTCTGGAATTTGTTTTGACAAGCTCTGGTTCACTATAAAATTTGGAAAGTCATACCTTAAATGTCCAAGTGCTCCTTCTTCCCCAGGGAGTCTGGTGCCCATCCTTCCCTAAGGACCTTTGAGTGCTGCTGTCATTTTACCCTTAAAGAAAGACACTGAGCTCTGATGATAAAACTGTGAACAAGGTTATCAAGAAGACTCACTTCTAGCAACGGTCTGTCCTTATCCGAAACACTTCTTCCCCTGGAAGTCACAGAGCCATAACCACAAAAAAGCAGGATTTGGACATGTAAATTCTGTGCAGTTAAATGTGTGTCTTAAATGTAATCCAAGGGCCCTTTCTTTTTTTTTTTTTTTTTCTGTACTGGATTTTGAACTCAGGGCCTACACTTGAGCCACTCCACCAGCCCTTTTTTTATGAAGGGTTTTTTCAAGATAGGGTCTCATGAACTATTTGCTCAGGCTGGCTTCGAACCACACGCCTCCTGATCTCTGCCTCCTAAGTAGCTGGGATTACAGGCATGAGTTACCAGCCCCCAACTCTGGGTTTCTTTTTTATGCAGAAGGTCAACGTTCATATTCCTTCCCACTGCTCCAGGGGCATTCCCATCCCAAGTCACTTGAGGGGAAAGCTGCTGGTGCCCTTTCTGTCACTGTCCCTTTGCCTCACCTTCAACTCCATGAAGACATTGCTTCTAACTCACACAATCTCAAATAACTTGCAGTTCTTCAAACACTGCCATAACAGGTGCTGTTCCTCCCCTGCCCCCACCCATTCTACAGCCAAAGCCAGCTCCTTACCTGTTCCCCTGTAGGACGAGGCTCAAGCACCACTGCCCAGCTGGCACTCTCTGACCCGATGCCTGTTGTAGCAGCATTCTCCCTCTTTTCTGCAGCCTGGCGCACTAGAGATAGGTGGTTATAGCCCTTGGGTGCTCTTGTGTTGAGATTATTTGTCTCTCTCCTCCCTTGGACTCCATGGGGGTAGAAAGGGCATCCCACTCCCTTGTCTGCACTGCCCATCCCAGCACTGGGCACCCTGGGGCTTCATGAACAACCGTTCATTCATGGTGGGCATCATCCTCCGGCAAAAGCTTCCAGTCCTAGGTAACACATTCGCCTCTTTCTTATGAAGGACAGATGGTGGCCAGTTGCGGGTCCGGTTAAGGATACAGTGACGTAAGTGGGTTTACCCACTTAGTGTTGCATCGCAGCTGTAAGAAGAGTCTTGCCATCCACCCAGCTGGCTCTTTTGACCTTTGGCCAGGGAAGCCAACCCTGTCTAACCTGTCAACCATTGTGCTTTCAGGTTCGAGAACTCCAAACCCGACTACAGAGCGTGCAGGCCACAGGCCCCTCCAGCCCTGGACGCCTCACTTCTGCCAACCGCCCAATTAACCCCAGCACCGGAGAGCTGAGCACCAGCAGCAGCAGCAATGACATTCCCATCGCCAAGGTGAGTTCCTGGGGACGGGACTGATGGGCAGGAACACTTTATGTTATCTGAAAGCACCAGCCGCCTCCCAGCCACCACAGTGCAGGCATGTCGCTGGCACAGCCAGCCTGGAGCCTCCCTGGGGACTGAGCACAGGCTTCCCACGCTGAGCTGCAAGGAGAGATAACCCACTAATAGTCTGAATTCTCTGTCGGCTGCAACCCGGACACCGGCTCTCGTTAATCAGCCGGCTGGAGAATGTCACAGCTGACAAGTCATTGTGGAGACTGAGGCGTTGTGTCAAGGGCTATAATACCTCAAGGTGGATGAGTAGTTGCTGTTCAGGACTAAGGTTCACCCTGAGCCAGTGGTCTCCCCACTCATGAGACTTGACAGCTCCACCAACCAAAGAAATACATCATGAGGGGCAGGCTGTGGCAATTGAAGAAACAGCCCTGCCCATTCTGTCACAGTCCCCCAGGCCCTATGGCAGTGTCCCACAGAGAGACTGTGCCTCTTGTGTGGCAGTCCTACTGGTCTCCACAAACTGTCAAATTTAGTAAGTTAGGTGAAACCATTATTTCTTAACCCAGAGGTAATTTAGTCTCCCCCATGGAACATTTTGGATGATCTCAACTAGGGTGTTACTGGCAGAGCCAGAGGTGCTGCTAAAGATCCTGTGAAAGACAAAATGCCCCCACAACAAAGAGCAAACTAATCCATAGTGTTAGTAGTTCCGACTACTCTGCACTCAGCTGAGGGTAACAGGATTGGACCGTGGAGGTGTTTTCAGGACAGTAAGCAATTAGTTTAAGGAGTGGCTCAATTGTGGTCCTTGTTAGCATGGTCTCCGTAATTTATTGAGGGGGGGATGGTGTGGTTTTTTTCTGATCATTGTTTTGTTTTTAAGATTGCTGAGAGGGTGAAGCTATCGAAGACAAGGTCCGAATCTTCTTCATCTGATCGGCCAGTCCTGGGTTCGGAAATCAGTAGCATTGGGGTGAGTGTTGGTGAGAGGCAAGGCAAGAAGGCATCGGCAGACCCCCACGGACACTGGCTTCTGGCTGACAAAAACTTCCAAAGTCCACCTCCAGGAAGCCAATTAATGATGATAATAAATCACACCCATTTCTTTCTATGGGGTCAAATTAAAATGTAGACTGGTTTCCACATGGTGAATTACTTCTCCAGCTAATTTAAGGAAGATTTTCTCCACCCTGCTTGAAATCTTCCAGAAAGAAATGATTTCTGTCTCGTTCCTGGTGACAATGATGAAAGTCTTGAAGTATCTGTTTTATATCTCCCTTCACTCGAGACTAAGGGAGCCATGAAACTCCACAAAAACCGTGCATTTGGCACATCCTTCTTTAAAAGGGAACTTGCTCTGTGGGAGAATGAATGCTGCCTTTGAAGTAAAGCCCTGTGCTAGCATAGACCAGAACCTGCCAGTTCAGCGCTGTGGTCTTCAAACCCCTGGGGTGTCACAGCTAATGCGTGGTGACAAGGGAGTAATTTTGGTTCCATAAGGGATATCTTTTAGGATCAGGCCTTAGGATGGGAGAGCCAGCTATTTGATCCTGAGGTGCTGAGATGGGGAGCCAGAAAAGCAGGACCCTAATTTAAAATTTTGCACTGAGCTAAATTTGCATGCAGTCAGATTCTGAGGCAAAGCTGAACTGTGAGAATAAAGGACACAGCCTCCCTCTTTGGCTACAGTAACCAGAGACAAAGGCCTGGAGTGGCAGGGAGCTTGGCATGAGGGAAAGAAGCCCAGACTGTGTTCAGCATCCAAAATGTGAGGGTCTCTGGCTGCCCAGCATCGCCTGTTTTGGGGAGCAGCTGCGTGTCGATCCTGTCTTCTGTACTGCTTTCACACTAGTCAGTTCCTATGCTAGAATTAGATTATACAAAGTGAGCCCTGTCAGGGTAGCTGTCCTGGTGCCAGACTCTCAAGGACTCTTTGCTTTATATTGTCTGTAGAAGGTATGCTGGGGGCCAGTGGGAATTAATATTCATTCGTTATACAGGTATCCAGCAGCGTGGCAGAACACTTGGCCCACTCCCTTCAGGACTGCTCCAACATCCAGGAGATCTTCCAAACGCTCTACTCACACGGCTCAGCCATCTCCGAAAGCAAGATTAGGGAGTTTGAGGTGGAAACTGAACGGTTGAATAGGTAAGGAGCAACGCGCCATATTTGACTGGCAGACGGGAACTGGTTCTCCCCTCCCTTTCTGTAGGCTCATTCAGGTTGACTTGTGAATTGTGACCTGGAGTAAGACCGTCAAGCTGCTGGGGCTCTTCAAACTCTTAAGAGGTCAGAGGAGTGCCTACTGCAGTCAGGGCTGGCTGCACAGGGCTGTGACCTACGTTCCCCCAAGGCTCCTGCTTCAAAAGACTCCATGCATGCTTTCCTGCTTCCCTAATAATTTATGAACAAGGGGCCCTGCTTTTTCATTTTACCCTAGACCTTGCAAATTACATAGCAAGTCCTGGAGCAGCCCATGGGAAATGTCAAGTAGGTCACAGATGGCTGCCAAGTGTGCAGGCCTGTGCTACAGAGGGCCACAGAAGGAAGTCCTGGAATGTTGAGTCAGCGTCCTAGGGGCGCCTGCAACTACCAGGAAGTGGCAGAGGCAGTCTGGTGACGTTCCTCGTCTTGGCCAGCAGGCTGGGCCAACTCTCTCTGCTCTTCCACCATAATTTTATTTATGGTGTTTGTCATCATGCCCAAGCCTGAGTCCCTATGTCCTTTCCTAACTGTCCAACTTACAATAAGTTTACCATATGCCCGGTTTCGTGGATTCTACAATGGAGATTGTCTGAGTTTGCACCCCTGCGTCTTGGCAAAGACTGGCTTCTATATACTCTCGGTGATAAGGGAGAGAGGCTGAAAAAGCTAAGAAGGACCAGAGCCAAACCACGATAACCACTCTGACTCAGACGGATTCCATGGTGGTATATGGCCTGCTGAGCCATATCCAAGTGTGGTATGGCTGCCTTGACCTACCAGTGTTGAGAGGGAGAGCACAGAAGGACTCGCAGGGCTTATGAGCTAACCAGGAAGAAATGTGGACACCATTCCCGTCCTCATGCTTAATTCCATTCCTCTTATATATGGCAAACCTGAATCAATTAAATTAGTATACTAGTCCTGCCTGACTCAGGGCTGTTTAATATGGACTGTGACAACGAAGGAAATGTGACAATCTAGGTCATTTTATATCTTTGAAATGAAATGGCTTCCTTATTAGGTCCTAAATACTTCAGTGACAATCCTCATAATTACCCCATAGCAGGAAAACAGAAGCAGTATTCTGAGGATCTCTGGCCTGGGAGTGCTTACAGATCAGATCCCATGTGCTCTTCAGGGAGCCCCTGTCTCCTGTCTCCTGACTCTGGGATGTAACAAGCCTGCTTTGTGGCTGAAGTTGGAGAGGCTCCTTGCTTCTCAGTTCTGTGCATCCAGGAGAGGTCAAAGAAAGGGGAAGTATTTGGTGTTTGTAGCTCATGGTATCAGGGTGTACAGCAGCTGGCCACGGGCTTTCACAGAAAGTCACTTAATCTTCAAGTTGGGCCATAAGGGTCGTCTCATTTTGCAAATGGGAAAACACAGGCTTTGAAGTTGGAAGTTGAGTGACTTCGGATTTCTTAAGTAACTGAGGCAAAATCCCAGCCTCTGCCCTTTGACCTCACTCTGTTGTCTTCTGTGTGATCATAGCTATAGTTGGAACCCAGGGGTTTCTCAGAAATAACCTACCAGTGTCCCGATGCCTGTCATTTGACTACCTATATCACAGCTGAGGTGTCCTGCTCTGATAAATGCTGACTTGTGACTGGGAGTCACAGAGGGGTGGGATTCCTGCTTGAAAGCGCGTTTCCTCATTGGACACACCCGTGTAAAGCAAAGTGAACAGACAAGATTCCTGGTCCCTGGACCTTACATTCTCTGAGAGATAAGATATCAAAGCTCCAAGAAGGAGATAAATAGACACTAGCAGAATAATGGGGAGGACTGTTTCTCTGGGGATTTTTTTGTTATTGCTTTCGTTGGTTTTCTTTTGGCGGGAGGTGCTAGTGATTGAACTCAGGGTTATATATGCTAGGCAGGCAGTGTACCATTGAGTCAGACCTCCAGCCCTTTTTGCTTTACTTATTTTTCAGGTAGGGGTATCAGTTTTGCTGGGGGCCGGCCTTAAACCATTGTCCTACCTATCCCTCCTGCCTGCCTAGCTGAGATTATGGGAATATGCACCATATCCAGATTGTTTTTTGAGATGGGAGTTGGGAGTCTCTCGTTTTTTGTTTTGTTTTGTTTTATTTTTGTTTATCACTTGGCTGGTCTCCGAGCGCAATCCCCCTCCCAACTCCACCTCTTCATGTGGCTGGGATTACACTTGGCTCTGGTTGTTTTATTTATTTATTTTTTTATTTTGTGGTGATGGTGACTGAATCTAGGGCCTTGTACATGCTAGGCAAGTGCTCTACCACTAAACTCTACACTTCCGGCCCAAGGATTGAGTTTTGAGAGATGGTAAGGGAAGATGTCTCTGAAGAGGGGAGGTTTACATTCAGATTTTAAGTGAAAAAGGAGAAGTCATGTGACATACCAAAGAGAGTTTTTTGGGCCAATTTAACAACATCCAGGCTGGAAAAAAGTTGAGTGGAGGAGGAACTGTGCAAGGAGCAGGGGAACCTGGGTGGGGCAGGGAAAGGAGGAGTTACAAGAGGTAAGGTGGCTGAGAGGCAGGGGCTGGCTTGGAGATGCATTTTGATGCCTTGGACAAATTTCACTCTTTAAGTGTAATGGAAGTCATCAGAGGTCTTTAAATAGAGCAGAACAGGATCTGAGCTACCTTCCAAAGCTCACTCAAGGCAGAGAGGTAAACCACAGCGGGCCATGCCAGTCCCAGATACAAGTGATGGCAGAGGTGGTGGAGATCCTGGCTGCATTCGGTTGGGAGTCAAGAGAAAGGACTTGTCTCGGAGATGACTAAGTATCACGCTCAATCTGTCGTGTGGGTGGCATTTACCAAGATGGGGGAAGAGTTTGGGGAAAATCGAGAGCTCCCTCTTGGAGTGTTGAATTGGAGGTATCCTGTGACCCCCAAGTGGAAATGTCAGGAGGTATGTGGAGCTCAGAGAGGTCCAGGCTAGAACATTTTGAGAGCCACAGGAACAGAAATGCCTCTTATAGGACTGGGCATAGTGCCTTGTGCCTATAATCCCAGCTACCTGGGAGTTGGAGATGGGGAGGATCATGGTTCAAGACCAGCCTGGGGAAAAAGTTAGCAAGTTGCCATCTCAACAAACAAGCTGTGCAGTGGCACTTGGCTCTGGTCCCAGCTATACAAGGAACAAAGGTAGGAGGATCGTGGTCTGGCCCCAGGCAAAAGCATGAGATCCTATCTGAAAAATAAGTAAAGACACACACAAAAAGAGTGGTTGGGAGCCTGGCTCAAGTGATAGATTGCCTGCCTAGCAAACAAGCACAGACTCCTCAGTTCAAACCTCACTACTGCCAAAATAAATAGATACAAGCCTCTTTAAATCATGGCTTGATAAAATGACCCCTGGGTTGAGAGTATTGGCAGAGGAGGGGACCTTGGACTGAGATCTGAGGAATCTCCAGCCAACCTCACAGTTTTTATAGGGAACAAGGGGGCAGAGAAGAAATGGCCTCTGAGGCAGACGAAAACCAGCAGGACACCGTGACCTAAGCAAGGGAGTCATTTGCATCAGGAACACTCTGCACTTGGCCACATGGAGGTCTGTGATCTGGGTACACGAGGGCATCCAGTGAGCATGGACTAAATGTACACTGAGCTGGCAACGAGGTGGGGGCAGTTCAAGATGTCAAAGGAGACGGGCTGAGCAGTTCCTTCTTTTAACACTTTGCCTTGGCTTGACTTTGGAGTTGGCAGTTGTCTTAGTTATGCTCTCACCAGATGTCTCCATGTAGGTGACAGTCTCCATGTGCTGCTCTCAGATGTATAACTCTGAGATTTATCCCCACACCCCTTAACATGGCAGGAGTCACTTGGTGTTTTGTGGGTGTGAAACCCTGACTCTTGAAGACTCAGGGAAAATGAACCCTCACTCTGAGCTCAGGAAATGGAGAAGCTGAAGATTTGACTTTGTGATCATCTCATCTGCCCTGCATCTGATAAAATCTAAAAGTTCTCCCAGCAGGGAGCCCAGTTCTGCCCAGCCTGGAAGGGGCTTGGGATGTGATCACCATTCTGGTCCACTGCCCATCAGGACCCTCGGGGATAGCTTCTTGTCCACTCACTCTTCATCCCTTGCTTCGCATGTGGTGTGGGGTTAGGAGCACAGGCTGTGTGGCAGAACTGCCTGGGTCAAATCCCAGGACAGTGTTCTTCACCTGTCTCTTGCCTCCATCTCCTGGTTGGGACACGGACCACAGTGCTCAACTCAGCAGGCTCCTGGGAGGAGGACTGAACGCAGCTTAGCCAGTAGCTGTTACCAGGATGCTGTGAGTCACTTGTCCCATGCAGGGAGGGCATTATTTTGACATCACACAGCTGTTGCCTTCCTTCACTTGTCCCCAGGGCCTCCCATGGGTGCCTGACATGTGGCATTTGAGTATCATAGGCTGTGCAGGAAATAACCAGTGCCTACTTTTTATTTCTTATTCACACAGAATTCAGTGATTCATTTATTTACTTGTCCCCATCTTTGCATACATCTAAATGACACAACTAAAATCTTGGCGAATGAACAAGTGGGAACGAGATTTTTCTTCCTCCACAGCCGTATCGAGCACCTCAAGTCCCAGAATGACCTCCTGACCATAACGCTGGAAGAATGCAAAAACAACGCTGAGAAAATGAGCATGCTGGTGGGGAAGTACGAGTCCAATGCCACAGCGCTGAGGCTGGCCTTGACCTACAGGTAGGGGAGGTCAGAAATACACCTGGAGGAACCTCCTGCATGCAGGTAGAATCCCAGCTTTTAGATGACGTAAGGAAGGCCGGGTGCTACTCAGGAGGCAGAGATCAGGAGGATCATGGTTCAAGGCCAGCCTGGAGAAAAAGTTCATGAGACCCCATCTCAACAAGTACCTGTCATTCCAGCTACTGGGAAAGAGTAATAGGAGGCTTGAAGTCCAGACTGGCCTGGGTGGAAAGTGAGACCCTATCTCAAAAGTAACCAAAGCAAGAGGGCTTGTGTCATGGCTTAAGTGGTAAAGCGCCTGCCTTGCAAGTGTGAGGCCCTGAGTTCAAGCCTCAGTACCACCAAAACAAAAGAACATCACGAGGGGTTGGAGCAGCTGGTAGTAGTGTGACACACGCTGAAAACCTCTTAGTGCTCCTGTGCAGTTAACAGAGTGAGTGAGGCTACTGAGTACAGGATTTGTAAGCAGATTTGTTTCTGCTAGCATATTTCACCCAAATATTTCATTTGAGCAGTATCACGCAAAATATCAACGTTTCCATTATATAATCATTTATTTCTGGTCCTTCTTTAAAAAAAAAAAGTTTTGTTTTTTGAGAAAGGTTCTCACTCACTGTGTAGCCCAGGCTCCTGAGACTGTCAGTGTTCCTGCCTCTTCCTCCTGAATGCTGGGATTATAGGCATGCACTACTGCACGGGGCATCTGATCTTTATTCAGATTTATATATATTTTACCTTATTGTAAATCCACTGTGTTCTATTTCTTCAGTTTGTCATTGTGTTTACATGTTGCTTAATAGTCTCCATTTAGTTTGGGTGGTTGTATCTCCTGCATCATTTTATATTTTATTTTATTTATTCATTTCTCTAAAAGACATTTAGACTTTTGCAGTCTTTTGATATTGAAAATAATGCTGATTAGTTTAATACAGATAAGATCTTCATTCTTTCCTTGGGATATGATTTCTGAAGCATGATTAATAGGTCAAAAATAATATTTTCATGACCGTCATATAAAGACCCGTTGGGTTTTCGCTTTTTGTTTTTTTTTTTGCCTAAGAAAGCTAGTTTAAACTGCTAAGGTCCATTCATTAGTAAGGAAGTGGTATGTGAATATACCACTCTTTTTTTTCTGCTGCTGCTTTGACTTTTGAATTTATCTGTTTTTCAATTAATACTTATTATTTAAAACTAGAGCAATTTCTTATGTCTTCACAGGTTTATTTTATTAGTGGCTCTACTTAACCCTAGGTGTCAAGGTCTCAGAGTAGCTTGACTGTATCTCACTTTTAGCATCCTGTACAAACTTCAGTGTGGTTTTAAAAATATTGTTGTTTCTTTAAAAAGCAAAATCAAACAAACATAGTGAGATCAGAGCTGGAGCACGGTTATACTGGTTTACAGTCGCACCAAATCAAGCAGACAAACCTGCACCTCCTCTTAGGACACGCTGTCCTCTGTCATGGTCTGTCTCTGGTCTCAAAAGGCGTCATTCACCAGAGCTCATCCTCCCTGGTGTGTCCCAGCACCTGTAGCCTGGAAAATAGACTGCACTACAAGGAGGGGCTGCCAGCACCCGGCCTTGTGATTGCCCCTTTTCCTCGACTCTGAGGAAAGCGTGAAGTGAGTAAAACGATCAAAATCAGGTGGCCTTGCCACTCACTTTTGGCCACAGCAGGGTCTTACCTGTTGGGCTAGGGAAACTGAGCCAGTATTTGCCTGAGGAGGAAATCTTAACCACTTCAGGCCTCTCATCTGGGACACATGGGTGTCATGCACACAGATCCATGTTGATTGGCCTTGGTTGCCCAGTGGAGGGTGGACAGACAGAAGAGAGCCTGTTTTTTCTTCTCAGAAATCCAGGCTTAGACCCTAGGGTGAGATCTTGTGAGGGCCTAGGTGTTTCGTGAGGTCTAAGATCCTTGTGTGATAACAGAACTGTTCTCTGTGCTGACCAGCACAGTAACCACTAGCATGTGTGACTGAGGACTGTGTGGAGTGTGGCTACTGCAGTGGAGGAAGTGAATTTCTCATTTTATTTAACTTAAAAAATGTTAAATGTAAATGGCTATAGGTAGTTAGTGGCTGGCTACTATGCAGTGTATGTTCAGGTTAAAATCGTCTCCTTAGGGAGAATTATATTAGCTATTGATTGTTGGATGACTAATTATTGTGGCACAATTTTGAGGGTCAGGAATTCAGAATTGGCTTAGTTAGGAGGTTGTAGCCCAGGTCACGCTGGTTCAGAAGCAGGTTCTGAAGGTCACACTGTTAGCCAGGACCCCATCTTCTGAAGCCTTGACTGGAACTGGAGGGTCTGCTTTCAAGAAAGCTTTCCCTGGTGGGAGGTCTCAGTTCTTCCTGGCTGTTGGCTGGAAGCCTTCGTTCCTTACCATAGGGGCCTCTCCATGGCTCCTTGAGTGTTGAAGACATGGCAGCTGACCTCCTGGAAGGATGACCCTAGTGGGAAATGGGAGAGTGACCACGATGGAAGTCCCCCTGGTTCTAATAACATATTCTTGGGAGTAGCATACTTTATTATTGCCACTGTACCAACTCTAGTACAGTGTAAAGGAACAGCATAGCAGATGTACATACCAGGGTGTTGGGCTCAGCCATCTTGGAGGCTGACTACCATGGGTGTGTAACATGTCCCTTTTAGCTGGTCATCAAAGGGACAACCAACTTGCCTCACCCACCATTATTGATTCTCTAGTATTTTTCTCAAACCGAGTTTTTATTTGTAAAAGACCATTGTAACAGAGCGAGTCCCTGGCTTTGTCCAGAGAATAGTCTCCAGTGGGTTCTTGGCTTATGTGGATGGTGACACTGAGGCAGATTCTGAGCTGGTGTTGAAGATCTAACTGTCCCTGCCAGAGCTGAGGACACTGTACTTCTATTTCAGCGAGCAGTGCATAGAAGCCTACGAGCTCCTCCTGGCCCTGGCTGAGAGCGAGCAGAGTCTCATCCTGGGGCAGTTCCGGGCAGCTGGTGTGGGCTCCTCTCCTGGTAAGTGTCTGTCCCCTGAGCCTCCCCATCGCTCCTTCCCCATCTCATTTCCCAGCCTCTTGTTCTCTTCCAACCCCTTCCCAGCTGCTGGTGTTGAGTCATCTCCCAGCAACGTGAAATCCGCTTGTCAAGTGTGTTTCTCGTTTTTCCTTTATGACTGAGTGGGTAAATTGTTTATGTTGAATGCAGCAAGAACTGGAGTGGAAACGAATTACAGACAACTTAAAACAAACAAGCCTGTGTAGCAAACACATTCTCCTGGGCTGACAATGGGGTCAGATGGAGGGGAGGCCCCCACTAGTGATTAATGGGATGCACACTCTGATTCAACTTGTCGAGGGTCCCTTTGCTGCCCACAACCATGTCCTGTCTCATTGTCTTGTAGCTTCTATTATCTGTGCTTTTCCCCAAGTGTGTTCTTCTAAGTGTTTTTGAAGCATGGTTCCCCTTACCTTGTCTCCAGGAGTCTTGTGAACCGAGAGGAAGTAGTTTCACATCTGTCCTTCCCAGCTTCACAGAATTGTTTCCCCATGAGCCTGGCCAGTGGTGGAGAGAATGTGTCTGTTGACCCTTCTGTCTCCATGTTCCTTCCCGTCCCCTGACCCCAGGATTCTGACTTGTATCTCAAAATTCTCCATGACCCCCTCACCACTTCTGCCCTCCAATTCTGAGAAAGTGAAAGGGCCATTTAATTAAAAACAATATGATGATGGTACCCTAGTCTTAGCCATATTTGTCTGGGATGGTGGCTCTGAGAACTGCACTGATATGAGGGGACCACAGAAGAGAAAATGCTGGAGAGGAAAGAGAGCACCCCTCAGTGGGTAGGATGGAGACCTGCACAGGACCTCACCTATGCATTACAGCAACAACTTCTTTGGATAATCAGTGGTACATCATCAAAGCTGAAGTGACCAGGTCAATCCTGAGCCCACACTGGTGAGCAATGTTGGGCAGGCCAGGCACTCCCTTCTGTGATGACCAGGTCGTCAGTTTTGGATTGCCTCACATCTAAGTTTTCCAACAAGGGAGTGGCCTTCATTTGTATGGGTGGCCATCCTCGACAGTTCCCTCTGAGTTTCTTTATTTTGGTTAACAGTATTACCATCCTAAAAGTAGACACTGTGCCAGCATTTCCATTAGAGACCTCATTTTTCAGGGTCTTTTCAGTGAACCATAAAACTTTACTCCTGCTATGAAACAGATCCTAAAATGATCTTGGCCTGCTGTCGGTTTTTTTTTTTTAATATTTATTAAGAAAACGATCAAGTGAAGGGAAAAAAATAAGTCATCTTCCACTTTGTATGAGAAGGATGTCTTAGCCTGTTTCATCCACCTTTATTAGGTTTCTGCCTACGTGATACAGTTACTTGGTAGGAGCCAAAAGGGCTTAAATAAATCAGCATTTAAAATCTTCAAAAGTCAACAGTGAAATTCTTTGTATTTACCTGATCCTGGATAGCTCATATATCTATGAGATGAGATTAGCCAGTCTGTGACAGCATGCCTGCTTCATAGAGCAGTCAACTGGTGAGATGTATGTAAAATATCCTTGTGGAAAGATAAAAAGCATGAAAGTTGTCAGAGAAATGACTGGAGGGAAGTCTGGGGAATTGTAGCCTACAGGATGTGCCTCACCGCATTTCCATCCCACTCTCCATGGGGCTGAAGTTTTAGTACCCCTGTCCCCACTAAATCTCTTCCACTGCTGACACCGGTTTTGTCACTCTGCCCACCATGCTATCTAAGTAAGGGCTAGTATATGACATTAACCCACAGCATCAATGACTGTGGTTTTTTGTTGTTTGTTTCTTACTAGTTTCACAAGCATTCATCACCTTCATTCTAAATGTTGAGGCCCCTGGTTTTGAAACTTTGTCCTGGGAACCTGGAGGTGTTTCTCAAGTTCTCAGCAGTGGGTTTGAAGGGAAGGAGGCCAAGTATACCCCCAGCCCCGTCTACTTCACCCAGTTCTACATATAGTTCGTAAGGCTTAGCATACAAAGTTTCGAGGTTTTATTTGAAAACATTTGCAGGAGTTTGGATCCTATGTTCACCATTACAGTCTCACACAGAGTACTTTCACTGCCCTAGAAATCCTCCGTGCTTACCTGCTTTTCCCTCTCTTTCCCATTCCCATTCTCCCAAAGTTCTTAAAATGCAAAAGGCACGTGAACCTCTCAGTTCAGGGCTTCACTTTCTAGCTCTCCTGGCTCCTACCACCTCCCGATGCCCTGCCCCCCCACCCAGTCACCTGCCTAAGCCAACAGGGTGAGGGATAGTGTCAGTAAAGAAAATATAGAGAAATCTGAGGTTCTCATATGAGCCACTCATTTGTCTCTTTTGCCTCTAAACACTGTGCTCACGCAGTTGATGTGTGGAGATGTGACAGTTTCCTCAGTTTCTTTTCTCTGCCCTTATTCACAAAGTGTCAGTGCACAGAAGACGGTGCCTGTGTGGGAGGAGAGGTCAGCATGTTAGATCGAGCTGAACACTGACCTTGGAGATCACACTGGCCAACCTTTCATTTGTCTGTGAGGACAACAGGTGATGATGTAAGCTCACTCCTGGGCTTCCCCAAACCAGACCTGTGTTGATTAATCCATGGGCCCCTCTGTGACATAGGAGACCAGTCAGGAGACGAGAACATCACTCAGATGCTCAAGCGAGCCCATGACTGCCGGAAGACTGCAGAGAACGCCGCCAAAGCCCTGCTTATGAAGCTGGATGGCAGCTGCGGGGGAGCCTTCGCTGTGGCTGGCTGCAGTGTGCAGCCCTGGGAGAGCCTATCTTCCAACAGCCACACCAGGTACCGTGCAGCCGCTCCAACCTGGGGTCCTGTGTCCCCCTGTCATCTCCTCTCTGGGCTTGGCATGTGATGACCTAGCTCTTGGGGACTTTGTATGGCTTGGGTAAGGCTTGCAGCCTACAGCCACAGGAATAGAATGGGGAGGTAGAAAGTAATATTCTTAAGCTTGACCCACATGGGAAATTCAGCCCAGAGAGAAAGGATGCTGTGCTCTAGAAAGAGGTAGAGATGGACTTCAAGCCTGTCTTTCCATCTGGTCTCTTGTACTGTTCTGTTACTTTATAATTCTTGACTTCTAGGAAGCACTTGGAGTAGCTATGGCCCACTGGCTACAAAGGTTCCGTAAGCATCTGAGGCCCAGCCTACCTCATTCTGGTTCCAGACTCTACTCTTCCTTCCTCTAGTGCCCATGTCCTTCATAAGCTCTTCTCAGGCAAGAGCCTCTCCTCTCACCTCCTTTGTCAAGTGATGCCACATTCACAGCACTTGCTTAGTGTGCACTTAACTGTGAACCTGAGGTCAAATTCAGTCTGTGAATCTAGCGAACTAAAGTGGACACTTGAAAAAGATGAGGGGTAGGGCAGTGAATGCCACCTTGCAATGTGTAATTCGCTGAAGTTGTTTAATCCTTTTGGATGGAGGGGTGGGGTACCAGAATGAAGCTTCTTCTGCTTCTTATTTCTTGCCATTCAACCCCTAAAAACATGAAAGCCTTCCCTTCATGTGTCAGTTCTCAAACTAGAAGGTACTTTTATGGAGATTCTTACTGGATTTCCAGATCATGAAAGACAAGAGTGACTTGACCCTGTGCACAGGTAATAAAAACCTTGCCTTAGAGATATATAAGTGACTCACCTGTTAAGAGGAGAATCCAGGACTTTAGCACCCACTGTGTCACTCTCCCACTGCACCATACTCTACCATTACAAAGCCGAGCCTACTTGGAAACCACATATGGTTAGAAGGAATTTCAAAACCCAGAGGAGCAGTCCTGATGTTTTTTTGGCACCTGAAAGCAATTCGATGTTCCCATCTCTTTCCCACTGTCAGGATCCAGCTGTCTGCCTCAGTATATCCTTTTACTTGCCCTGCACCCCATTTCCCAGGAGAGGGACATTCCCAATGACACTCTTGGCCAGATGTCCACAAGCACAAGGGACTTATTTCCTCCTGACTCCTGCAACAATTGTCCTACTCCAGTGAGATCAGATTATATATATTTTTCTTAAAGCCAGATTCTTATGTTTAAATACAGAAAGCAGATGCTTTTCTTAATGACTCTGCCACATATGTATAATCTGTAATTTCTGTGTTCATTTAGATAGTGACACGGTGCTCAGTTGTCAGTAAGACTGTTCCGTTGAATGAGTGAAAGTAAGAATTGGGTTAACAGGAAATGTGTGCTGTTTGGTAGCTTAGGAATTTGTGCTAAAGATCACTAGCTCATACTGCTGCTTCATCTCGAATGATTTTGTCCTTTAAATCTGAGTCAGAGACAACTTTTGAGGCCTTCAGGACAGTTTTCTTACCATGGATTAGAGGCAATCTGCTTTTGCAGATTTGATAGAAACACTACTTTAATGTCTAGGTAAGCCTTGATTTTTGAGATTGTTTTCTTGAGAAATTTATTTTTTGGTACTGTATTTCCACAGGTTGAGATAAAGTCAGAGCACAGAGTCTCTGTACTCAAGAACAACCTCACTAGAGAATGGCGCTTTGGCTAATTTCACATAGGTCTTCCATCAAGTACAGAGGCCTGTAGCTCTGATTTGACTCAATTCTCAAAAGTTCACTTTCCCCTTCTGCCCGTATCAAAGCAGCTCGGAGGGAGTACAGAAGAACTGCACACAGGGTCCTCATACGCCACCCCACATTTGTAGAACCTGACACAATTAGACTACCTTATGGAAAACCTGGGTGAAGGATACACACTTCTACCATCAAACCCCTTTCTTGGTTTAATAGACTCAGGAGCGTTGTTGCTAAGCCTTGCTGTTCGGCTTAACCGTAGCCCGATGACCAGCTTATGGGAGCAAAAGAAGGGAATCTCTTTTGCTTTGTGAGTTAGGGCCTTGTGTGGCCCAGTAAATTCCTTTTCCTCCCACTATATGTGGCTGGAATAATAGGGAACTTGTCAGTGTCAACTCACTGTTACCCCAGGCCTTCAGGCCTTTGGAGACATAGCTGGCAGCACAAGCCTAATGGTTTAGCAGAAGGGTAGCTAACCAGCAAGGAGAGTAAAAATGATAGCCAATCCTCAGTCAGCTCTATAGATAGGAGCCCAGGGATGTGCACCGCTTCATCAGAAAGCATAACTGTCTTAACAGACAGAGCAACTGGGCAATGTTGATGGCCTACATAGATTATCAACCCGTTGTGACAAAGAGGGCAATGGACGGGATTGTTGGGAAGTAGAAATAGGAGTCCTCAGTCAAGCCCACTCTTTACACCAAGCATTGTGATTCTGGCTCACTCTGTAGAAGCAGTCACTGACCTAAATCCACAGAAGAAGCCATGCAAGTCCGCTGTCACAGAGACTGGAATCGAGTCTCTTTTGTAACAGCATCAGGCAAGGACCATGCTGAGCCCTGTGTGAAAGGGGACTTCATCCTTGCCAGGAGCCTCCATGTGCCTCCGGTAGCAGGGATGCTGCCTGGACAGCCACTCCCGCTGTGGCATGCTCCCCAAATTGTAAGGGAGGGTGATGGAGTGCCAAAATGTCCAGCTGTGCCCTCTAGCCTAGTCTGAAGTTAGGAAAAATTACATGGTTCAGAAGAATGGTTGAGGAAAATCTTATCCTGTCCGTTGAAAGGTTGTGGAGCACTCATCCAATTAGAACAGTCCTTTGCCACCACCAGTAGCTGGCTTCAGAGACCACAAATCCCTGATGACAGGGCTATAATTGTCATCTTTCCTGAAAAACAGAGGTACATTCCCATCCAGGTGTCAGGAGAAGCCACAAAAAGTCCTGGGGATTAGGTTCCAACATCCAGCTGAGACAGTCCTGGATATGACAACATGGCGATTAGCCCTCCTGCTCAAATGTCCTTGTCACTTCCCTTTAGGTCCTGCAAGAGTATGGTAATAAGGTGATAAAGACACGGAATGCTTTTTTTCCCCTATGCATCCTAACTTCTTGAATCCAAAGGAACCATGTTTATTTTAAAAATAACTAAAATCCCAGCATTCCATAATGCAGAGTACACAAAGCAAAAGTTCTCCCCCTTAGGACATGAGAACAGTTTGGGTTATAATTCCACAGATTTTGCTGCATTTTTTTTCATAGTTGAGATCTTGAGTTGCAAAATTCAGAAATATGCTGAAATAGCTTAATCAAAGAGTGGTCTTAGTAGAACGATACCAGGTCTTGTACCCATGAGCTGCTCAAGCAGCAGAAGAACCCACAGGTGAGCACAGCCACCAAGACTCCACATCTAGCCTGTGTGGCCCCTGCATGTGGCTGACATCCTCCCCCTGCTGCAGGCAGCCCTCCCCAGGTGACAAAGAACCAGCATGCCACCTACATTTATATAGGAGGTTGACTGGTTTCACTGGTGCCAAGTAAGAAAAACCTAGGTGGGCATGGCTGCGTGGGGCCACAGCAGTTCCCATGGGAGCCATGTGGATAGAGAAGGAAAGAGTATGTCGTGCAGAAGAACCTGGAGAGGTGGGGACCCAGCAGATCAATTAAAACATGGCGGCATCACACACACACACACACACACACACTGTATATAAAAACATGACCACATCTAACTTTTTAACTTCACAATGTCCAATTATGTGAACTCTCTTAAAACATGCTTTTCCCTTAGCATTATATTCTCAGACATTTCCCCCAAACATGTCATTCTTTTACATAGTTCCATAGTTTTCTTTTGGATCACGATGCTGTCCTTGTATTTAAACATTTCCTCTCATTGGACATCTGCGCCGTTTTCCACCAGTTTGACGTTGCTGTTCCTGCGGTGCAGTTTCTGTGGGACCAGTTCTAAGTTGAATCTGCTGGCTCAAAAACCATCAGTTTCTAAGGTCAAATGGTCTCCCCTACTGCCCCCCCTCCCCATAACCAGTTATTTTTCCTCCAGCATGTCTGGATGGGCCTCTCTGTCCACAGCCTTGCCCTCACTGGGTCATACAGTCCCTGATTTTGTCAGTTTGGCTGTCTGTAGCTATTGAGCCTAGATGCTATCTATCTCATTTTGTTATCAGTGATCAAGTCAGGGATGGCTATTTGTTCAGAGATGCCTGGTTTCCAACACTGTTATGACAGCAACTGTAAAAATGGCTGCATGTGTAGGATTTATTTCTTATTTCAACTTCCATTATCAGCTGAGTCCTCAAGAGTTTCCTGGACCCAGGCAGTTTTTGAGGACTTTATTTATCTGACTGCAGGTTTTCTGACAGCCATATTTTGTGAGACAAAATATTTAACCTCAATTTTTTTTTTCTAGAGAATTGTAGTAATCATTCAAGAGCATACACGTATGAGAGGTTTGGAGTTTACATATAGTGTTTTTAGTCCTTTGCTGTAAAGTCCTTCATTGTCAAAGAGGGATGGTGGGGTGGGGGGAGGGGAATGACTTCAGTACAACATTAAAAGATAAAGGCAGTTGACTAAGCCCAACTTCTGCTTGGAGGAACTCCCACCTGGGAGTGACTTAAATGCCATGTCACCCTCTCTTCTCAATTTCACATACTCAGCCAAACAGTTGTCCTGACCCATGGCACTTCTCTTGTGAAAATGAACAGCCCCTTAATGGAAATCCTGTCTCAATTAGGGCCAGGGAAGATGCTATAGAACCTTCTGGGAAACTCCATTAGTGATTTTAGGGGCAAAAGAAAGGAAGTGTCCTCTAGCTTTCTGACACAGCAAGCTGAGGAAGCTGAAGGAAGATGAATTTTTTCCTCTAATGAGCAGGATGGGATCTTGAGGACAGAGACGGAACCCAGTGCAGAGGGACAGAAGAGATGAGAGTCCATCAATAGCATGTTCCACAGTGCTCAGGGTGGACAGAGGGCAGCTATGAGTGTCCACCTGGCTATGTGTGACAGGATGCACATCACCAAAGAAGCCACTCATCCTATCAAGCTCCTCACAAAACTAGAGTAAAACCAAACATGTGTGGCACTCCTCCTCCATCCTACTCACACAACACCCCCCTCCAGCCCCGCAGGAGAGGAGGAATCCGTGGCTGCAGAAAGTGATTTACTGCCCCTGACAGCTGAGCTTATCCTGCGCTCCGAGCTGGGAGAGGGAATGGATGACTTGGCAGCTGACAGCAGCCCTCGGGAGGCCAGAGGAAAGGCCAGTGGCTTCTCTTCCTCTTACCATAGTCATAATCATACTCTGCCATGCGACATGTAGGGCACGAGGCAGAATTGTAATTAACCTCGCCTGATCAGGTCCCCGCCGGTGTCCTGGAAGGGAGAGAGGGAGGCTGGCAGAATCTTGGACTGTGAGGCTTGTGTTGAAGTTCACCTTCACGCTGCTGAAGATCAGAGTACACTTCTGATCTTAACACAGGGTAGGATCCATGGACTAAGATTTTTCTGCTCTTCTTTCCTTCATTTTTGAAAACTATGGTTAAAGCAAAGGAGGTGATGCAAAAGCCTTCCTTCCTGGCCAGGGATCCTCTCCAGGCCAGGGGGGGACAATGCCTGTCACTCCCAGCCCACTCCCGTTCTCTCAGACTATTCAGGCACTAGCTGCTTTTTTTCTCCTCAGATGGAAGTTTTCTGGGTGTCAGCAGTGATTGACTCCTGGGGGAACACTGAGACTGGTGGAGGGTGTTGGGTGGCTGTGGGCGCAGCTGTCAGGAAAGTGGCCTTCCCGAACCTGCTCACTCGCTAGAGCAACTGCCATGTGGCCACACCTACTGGTCTACTGCTTCAGAACCATCTTGTTGTTCCTACTACCAGGGAGGTGGGAGCTCTTAGTGTTCTTCTTTATTGCATCAGAAAGATGGAAATTCACTCTGAAGTGCCCGAGAGAATATCCAGGTCTGACTGACTTCAGAGTCCCACTTGCAATCACTGGAGTCCACCAGAATCACCCTGTAGCATAGTGGTTCTACCTAGAAAATCTGACAGTGTGCAGTTACCTCACAGGCTATTTGGCAAAGGACCACTAGTCTTGTGGGTTAGGCATGGTTCTCAAACCTGAGCATGCATCAGAATCTGAATCAAAGCACAGACTGCTGGCCCCACTCCCAGAGTTGTTCTCTGTGGGTGGGAGGGGGTGGGAGCATGGTATCCCAACAAGCACCAGGCAGTGCTCATGGGGCTGGTCAGGGACCTGTCTGAGAACTAGTGGTCCTGCTAAATGGAAAAATCTGGCAAAATATTATAATTTCAGTTCCAGCAGAATAGCTAGAGAATTCTGTATTTGAATTTTGCAATTTCTATTTTAAATGAAAATCAAGAAAGGGCACCTCAAGTATAAATGGTACATTTCCAAAAATAGCAATCTGGGGATTACAATGGAAGGGGTAAATATCTACCTAAGGTACATTGTAGCACATATGTAAAAACCACAATGTATCCCCTGCACAACTATTATATGCTAATAAAAAATTAAATTAAAAAATATGAATCTGAAGAAACTATGACAAAATGCCATATGAGTAGACATACTTGGGCGTTGGTTATTCTCTGTGTTTCCATGCATTTGAGGTTTAAAAAAGTATTTTTAATAAAAGGCGAGGCTAGAGTTGTGCATTAAACTCATGCCTGAGTCACAGATTATGGGAAAGTATGTCATTCTTTAGACCAACAACAACTGACAAGAGAAGCCCTGCTGTCCCCAGCCCTCGATGTCAAACATGGTGCACCTGGGAGGACATCTCCACACCTTCCCCTGTGGGATGTCTTGCGAACAATATCACCATTTGAGTTTGCTTTAATTTCGTTGCTCACTTACCTGGGCAACAGGACACCTGTCCCTCCATCAGTGATGACAGTCTGTGGAGGTGAGCTCCTGAGTGCTTCCTGAAGGGTTTGGTACACAAACAGGCTTATCACAAAGCTGAGTGCAGGCAAGGATTTCCTTCCATGCTGAGGGAGGCCTGACTTGAACAGCCTTGAATCCTACTTTGTCCTTGGTCCCCTAGGAGTTGTTGTTTTTGCTTTTGTTTTGTTTTGGTTTAGACTTTGTGACTGCCATATTAGTGGTGGGGTAAAGGGGTGAGAAGGAAAGATCTGTCAACAATGACTTAGAGACGTGGTTTTTCTCTTTCCTGCCAGCACAACCAGCTCCACAGCCAGCAGCTGCGACACAGAGTTCACAAAAGAAGATGAGCAAAGGCTGAAGGATTACATCCAGCAGCTCAAGAATGACAGGGCTGCAGTGAAGCTGACCATGTTAGAACTGGAGAGCATTCATATAGACCCGCTCAGCTATGATGTCAAGCCGAGGGGAGACAGCCAGAGACTGGACCTGGAGAACGCCGTGCTGATGCAGGAGCTGATGGCCATGAAGGTACAGGTCTGGAGAGCACGGGCAGCACATGAGACGTCAACCCTATCCTATCAGTGTTCAGTTGCATCTGTGGGAGGAGGTCCTCACTTTGTGGACAAGGATGGATTTCAGTTTGGGGAGTGTTAAGGGTGGATATTCCTGGAGAGGGAGTTGACCTCTCAAGGCTGCTGTGGGCGCCCCCAGGTCTAGAACACTTACACCTCCCAAGAGAAGCCAGGTGAGACTCTGCAGGGTAGAATGAGCTTCTGTCCATCTCAAGAATGCTGGAAAGCACTACTTGGTTTGCTGGTACTGACGTTCGCTGGAGGTAAGGAGACACCAAAGTGAGGCCAGCAGCAGAAATTGGTAGAGAGCCTGGTTTCCTGACACCCAGTGCCTTGGGAGTGGTGTGGAGCCTTCTCAGGGCTCTTTGTGATCTCTGCTGAGGGACCTAGTGCCCTCCAATGAAGGCTGGCAGAACTGTCAGGCCACTGTCCCTGAGAACATGAGTTGCTCACCTGCGGGTTGCATTCTTTGCTGGCATGTCTTGAGCAGGGCATGCCTTCTTGAAAAGCTGGTACCCCTCACTGGCAAACAGTTACACTGCCTTCCTCCTCCCACTGCAGCCTGCATCTCTGTAGAGAGGGGGACTGCTGGAGAGAGGGGACTAGGAGTCTTGCTTCCAGACCTGATTCCAAACTCCACTGTCCTATAGACAGAGGCCTGAGATGAACAGCCTTGGGGTCTGCTGTGTCCATGCCTCAGGAATTAAGGCATGAGGGGCATTCCCCAGGGGCAAAAGCTGGAGCTCAGTCAGTTTAGGAACCAGAGGCAGAGTGGGTCATGGCAATGCTGAGGTAATAGCTCATAATATATCTCCAGCATTGGGGTCAGTACTGTTCCCAGGAAGAAGAGATCCCCACCTCTGGTCACACTGCTTCTGGACAGGGAATAGGGGCTGGCAGCAGCAGTCATCCCAACACATTGGGATGATTAGCCTAGCGCATCCCTGGGGTTTGAGTCTTGGTGGAGCATGGGAAGGCTCGGGGCAGTAGGAGCAGATGCAGGAATCCAGGACCCTCTCTCCTTGCTCTCCCACTTCATGTTCAGACTTGCATGTCTCCATCTATCCAACTTAGCTGCGTCCCCTTCCCTAGAGAGTCCTCCTGTTATCTAGCTGAGTTCTCTCACTGCCTATAAGCCAGGCTTTGGGTCCATAAGCCCAGTGACCTTGTCCTTGGTTGGGAACCCCTTTGACCTTGCACTCTGTGGCATGAGCCATGAGGTCGCCCTTCCGTTAGTTGTTCCAAACATGTTTTGTTTGGAGAGAGACTAAGGATTTCCTTTTTATATCTGCTCAATATGTAGTGGAACAAATTCATTGTTACTCTAGCCAGAAAAAAGCATTTTTTTGTGGAATGAAAGCTCTGATATTTCTTTTGCCACTTGAAAATAACTTATGTACTCATCTTACAAATTTTCTGAAGGAGTAAAGGTTATGAAAAGCTGGGAGGAAGAGAACTACATGTATGTAATCTGGACCTGGGGATCTAGGGTAGCCATTGCCCTCATTCTGACTTGGTTCTCCTCCTGTGAACTTCTGGAAGGCTAAACATCAACCCCGTCTCCTTTTTTCCCTTTCCCTAGTGTGCTCACCAAGGTGCCCTCATCTGTACAAATATGTTATCCAGTAGATACTGTTGGATTTCACCATTTTGTTCTAGGAGGTAATGGCTGAGAAACTCAAGTTTTAGGGCTTTTGACTTCTGGTACATGATCTTGGTGAATACTTTTATATCTCGAGCTTGTCTGCTTGGATCCCTTGCAGTCCACTCTTCTTGATAGAATGGTCTATCCTTTCATTTGGGATTCCTGTTCCTGATACTGAATTGTTGATCCCAAGATCGTGCCCTGGCAAGTGGATGACTGAAGACATCAGACCAAGAGTAAAGCAAGCACAAAGTTTATTGAAAGGATAGCAAAGCACACAGATAAGTAGGACTTAGTGAAAGAGCTAAGCCAAACAATGGCTTAAGTCTAGTAGATGATATAGGGCACCAACTGGCTTAGGTTAAACTATTCTACCTTGAAACTATATTTGTGATTGGCTGGCACTGAGCCAGTTCTTGTTAAACTTGGCCACCTGTCCATCCCTCTCCTTATCAAACAGAACATTCCAAAAAGGTCTGGTCAGCTCATCTTGGCCTTGAAAGTTTGCCCAACTCGTCCTGGCCTTGGGGTCCACTACCCACATTGTGCAGCTACATTGTGTATTTTGGGGAGGGGCTTGTTACTTCTCTGAGAAGCCTGTTGTTTCCCACACCTCTTTTACATGTCTGCTTCTAAAGCATCTCTCTCATCCAAAATGGAGTCACTTTTGTCACTGCTCTCCTTACATTCCTTTATCCCTTTTATGGAAATATTTGCTTCCCAGTTTTTCACATTGTTACTTTAATGCTATAAATGCTGACTTACTTCTGCATCTGCTGGTTCCCCCTCAGCACCACTCTTGCCATCTCTGTTGGGTGAACATGCACACAGGCTCATCTTCAATGGAGTTGCATCTCCATGTTCTGGGAGTCCTGTGTTTAGATGTCTTGAGACCTATGCATTTCAGAGTACTACTACTAGTTTTTGTATATTCTTAGCTTGGGCTTCTTACTTACACGTACACATGACATAATGTTGAGGTTTTGTTCTTCAAGAGGGCTTTTTCTTTCTTTTCTCACCCATTCCCTGAGAGATGGCAGGCTTCCTTGCCATGTCTCCAGAAAGACAGTTTTCTAGTCTCTTACTCTTGGCAGTACTTTGAGAGCCCCCGCTATTGTAAGGGTCATACTTAGTCTGGCCACAGCCTGTCCTTGCATGGATGAGGATAAGATCCTTTATAGCACGGCTTTCAGACTGGTCTACTGCCTCTGTCCACCTTGCCAGCCCCTCTGTGGAAGTCTGTCCTCTGGGACATTTACCATGTCTTCTCTCAAGCTTGCATTTGTGTTCATTCTGGAAGTAGCTGGCCACATTAGCTGAGGATGCAAAGTGGCCAGATCCTAGAAAATCCACCTTCTGGTGGCAAAAGTTGAGAGAGAAGGCTCCTGGGTTTGGAAACCTCTTTCATTTTGGTTTTTGTGTCTGATCTTCAGGGAAAACAAGGTTTGAGCTGTTCTTCTGAGTGGTCCCTGAGCACAGTGACTAGTGACTTCTGGACAAGCCTCAAAGCAACAAGACAGGTCTTGGTGGTGCCCTGCAACTTTGGGAAGTTAAACAAGTGACTTCTTGTGAGGGCTGTGTGTTCAACAAAGACTGCTACGTGTCACTGTTTTCTAGCTCCTGGTCTCAGGACATCATGAATCCATTTTAGATTTACTTCTTATTCCCCACAGAAAACAACTATTTGAGTTCTTTTAGCAACTTTCAGAAGTTGCCTTGCTGGAGTGTAGCTCAGAGGTCCATCACATGCCCTGGGTTCAGTCCCTAGCACACACGCGCGCGCACACATACACACATACACACACATACGTTGTCTGATGAAGGTTCTTCTGTTGATTTCACCTGGGCCCTCCCTTGGAAGTAGACAAGAGCTGGAGGATGCTATTTTGGTGGGCATTTCCCATCAGCCTAGCTCAGGTGCAAAGCCCCAAGGGTGACATCATATATGTAGCTTGTGCTATAGAACCTGCAATGAAATGGAAGGGACTCAGTGAGACCCAGCCCTCCTTGCTTGGATGCTCACACAGGGTTTCCAGCAAGGCAGGTGTGCCCATTGGGGTTCCATGAACCATTAGAAAGGTTTTTCTTATACTGAAACAAAATCTGCTCACCTATAACTTGAAGCCACATATCTATCTCAGTTTGAGTCCCTAAAGTGAAAAATAAAGCACACAGCTTTGTCTACATGTCAGTCCTTTAGATGTGTGGGGACAGCTGTCCTGTCTCCTCCTAAATCATCTTATACCCAGCGTCAGAGTGATTCCTCTACCATGGGCCCCTGGGTTGTAGCCCAGGTGTCCCTTCATACATACCTGGTGTAGCCCCTCACAGGCACTCAGGCTCTGTGCTCTTTGCTCTATAGGAGGAGATGGCAGAGCTGAAGGCACAGCTATACCTACTGGAGAAAGAGAAAAAGGCTCTGGAGCTGAAGCTGAGTACGCGGGAGGCGCAGGAGCAGGCCTACCTGGTACACATCGAGCACCTCAAGTCTGAGGTGGAGGAGCAGAAGGAGCAGCGCATGCGGTCCCTCAGCTCCACCAGCAGCAGCAGCAAAGAAAAGCCCAGCAAGGTAAGGCTGGCATGACTCAAGCCATACTCCTATCCAGTCACCAAAGACCACACTTCATCCCCTGTTGCCTCAGTTTCCTTGGTTGCATAGGAACCGCAGGCCACTCCTAAGTATCTAAGAAGATGCCATTTTGAGTGTAAAGAAACTAAATCTACCCAGTGTGCTTATAATTCCAGGAATTAGAAAGATTGTGGTTTGAGGTCAGCCTGGGCAAAAAGTTCATGAGGCACCATCTCAACCAATAAAAACTGGGTGCAGTGGCGCATACCTGCCATTCCAGCTACATGGGAAGGGTAAAGAGGATGGTGGTCCAGGATGGCCCAAGCATAAGCTCCAGATCCTGTCTCGGGGTTACTTAACAAAGCAAAAAAGGCTGGGGCATGCCTCAAGTAGTAGAGTGCCTGCATGGCAAGGGCAAGGCCCTGAGATCAAACATGAGTGCTGCCAAGAAAAAAGACAAACGACACAACAAATCCAAGGGCTGGGACACATGGCTCTAGTGGTGGAATGCTTGCCTGGCAAGCATGAGGACTTGGGTTCAGTCTCCAGTACTGCAAAACAAACAACCCAGAAACCAGATCTACATTTTCAAACCACATTTCAGTTTCTATAATAGCTGGAACATTTTCATACATTGATGTCTAACCAGAGTGGTCTGCACTGTTACCCAACAGGCTGATCGTGGTCTCATCTCTGCCTTCAAATCCCTTTCTACAACAGCAGTCCTCTGTTGAGTTGCTGATGTTTCACTGAGTTATCTCCTAGTCTCACATTTCTGAGGAAGGGATGTCTCTCTCCATTCACATGAGAAAAATGGGCTTCAAAGTAGTGAGTAGGCTGCTGTAAAAACAGCAGCATTGGGCTGTCACCCACACTTGGTCAACAGACCCACTTCCTGCTGTCTGCCCTGCTCTGGGATGCCTGTGGGCGTTTCAGCCATCAGTGAGGGGCAAGCAGGATGCAGGAAAGAGGAAGGACAAGCCTTGGATTGCAGAGCTTGGCTCAGCACAGAGTGGGCTTCTGGCGATAGAATTTTACAAACCCTCACTCCCACCAGCCCCCAGGTCTTTTTTTTTTTTTTAAAGAATCCAAGCTCATTTTATCATTTTATGTCTCTTTTCTAAATACTGCATTGGAAGAAGAAAAAAAGTTCTTGATCCTAAAGAATTACATCCCTAGTCTTGGGGTATCATATTTTCTGTTTCTGAAATGCCAGCTTCTCCTGACTCCTGTGCCCTGTCCATTTCAGACCCAGAACTTAAGGACATATGCTGACTTGCTGGTCTCATAAGCAGCGACTCACAGCACTGGAGACTGCAGGGCTGTCTCCAGCAGAGTTATTCACCTTGGAAGGAAGGAGCTTGCTGATGCCTTGTGGAACTGTCATTCCCTAAATAGCTAGGAACTCTGAAGCTGGTGTCACAAATAGCCACCGCTACAACTTTCCCCACCTCCCACCTGCAGAGGAGCCCAGGAAGTACCCAGCTGTGGTCCCCAGCTACTCTAAGGCCCTTGTTCCTTTACCTTCATCCATTCAGTTCAGAACTGTGATTTGGCACTCACAAACCCAGGGCCAAGGTTTGCTGCTAGAGTCAGCTCTGGTAGATAGATGAGGACTGTCCTGCAGGCGTTTACATCCTTCCTAGGAGACCGATGGCCAGACATGGTCACAGCACAGTGACAGAATGTCCCACATGCACAACTCATGGTGCCATGGGAGGCCAGGGGCTGGACACAGAATCTGGATTTGGAGATTCAGGACAGGTTTTCTGGAAGAAGTGGAGAGTGGGAGCTAGTCTGCTGCCAGGGCCTGGGGGGGAGAGGAAGGCCTACACTAGGCCATGCAAAGACCCAAAGGGAAAAAGGATCTGTGAGCTGGCTGGAGGTGGCTGCCAGCCAGGTTGGACGGTGAGGAATTAGAAAAGGGTTTTCAGCAAGGGGTGGTATGATAGTTTGGACTTTGGAAAAGTCACTATGGCAAGCACACAGTGCTGGGGGCATCACACCTGCGGTAGAGTAGGCAGCATCCAGAATGGTACTGTATGTGGTTGTATCTCAGACGGTATTTTCTCTCCCTACAAATATTTTCAGGGTCTTTTCATAGCTTTAGAGTTCGTTAGTAGTCAATTTGGGTCTGAGCCTGAGAGACTGCGCATGAGCATCTGTGTGTGTTTTTAGGGTGTGGTAGACACAGACTTACCAGGTTCTTGCCAGAGGTCCATGAACTGAGCTTTCTCTCCTAGGTCTTGGTATTTATTTTGACTGGGGAAGCACTGTATTTTGTGGAATGGCTTCAAAGTACAGAAACTTCTCTGATGGAAAAGGCCAGATGATTTTTTTTTTTAAACATTATCGTAAGAAGCTTTATAAAAGATATCCATGCTGTTCAGGTTAGGAAATTAAATTCGAATAAGCTGATTAGCCTGTATTTCAAATATTGGATCCATTTACTGTTTGAATCAACTATCCCACCTAGGTTATTCATTGGTCTTATTTGTTGGAGATGAGGCAGGCAATTTGGAGTAGAGGTTAACAACCTTTTCTAGAGAAAAGATAGGAAATATTTCAGGGTTCATAGTCAGTGCCAACTCTGCTGTAGCTACTCTTCTCCTGTTTTTCCTGTGAGGTGTGGAGCAGAGGTAATAGGGAAATCAGCGGATGTTACATGTAGACATGAACTGAAAATATCCTTATGCAACTTGGCTAGGATTTGGGACCCTGCCTTCCAATAACAGTTTATTGATGAGCACTGAAATTTGAATTTTAGGGCATTTGTATCTGCTGCAAAATATTCCTTTGACTTTTCTTCCTGTTTTGAAAATAGAACAGCCATTCTTAGCCTGTGGGCTGCATATAAACAGGCAGGGGGCCATGTTTGGGTCTACAACACCCACTCCTGTTCTATCAGGTGGGTGTTTCTGGTTATTTTTAAAACTTCTCTGTAGCCAACACAGCTGGGTCACAAATGCCATCCGAGTTGCAGTAGGATTTTTGTAGGTGTTGTCTGTCTGTAGCACACCTGACCACATATGTCCACCAAGAGGCACCATGAGTGAGACAAGATGGTCCCTGTCTTTAAGGAATCTTATGAAACATTAACTTCATACAAGTGGACACAGGAAAAGTGAGGGTCTTGCAGAATCTGGACAGCTTCCATGGGCCGCTGCAAGTGGGTCTCTGAGGACAGCTGACTGGAGAGATGGGAGAGGAGGTGGCCCAGGCAGATGGCATGGGAGAGAGAAGGGTGAGCAGGTGTTGGCCATGCTGCTCTCAAGGAGCCCATGGGTTAGGGGCATTTCCTTATGAAAATAGGCTGAGGACAAAATGTGCCTCCTGCTATCTAGACTTCTGGATGAGTTCCTTCCATCATGATACACTTTTCTGTTTGCATTCCATCTCCTGCAACAGAACACAGATTTTTATTTTCAGGCCTGGAGCGCAGTAGATCCTCAGTACGAAAGTCAGTTGAGCATAGCCTCACTGCAGTATAGCTGCTGCCCTGTGCATCTGCACAGAAAGCCAGGCACTTGCAGGCACAGCTGCTGCTTATGAAGAGTGTCTTAACTCTGTGTGGATCCAGGAGTCCCTGGCTTCTCTGTCAGACGGGAGGGTTTGCGTTAGATGGTGTCCGGGTCCCAGTCTGATATGACTGTCTGGGGAGGGGCGCACTTCTCTCCTCTCCTGAGTTTTCCCAATGATTATGCGGAACCCAGCAGAGCTCCTAAATTTAGGGAAGGCTGCCCTTCTCTTAAGGAGAAGTGGGACCTTTGTGTCTATTTCCTACTCAAGAAACTCACCTGAAGCCAACCAGCCTGGGTTTGGTGCCTGGATCTGCCAGTTCTGAGCTGGTGACTGAGCAGTATAACCTCTCTGTGCCTTCATTTCCTTCTTGGTAAATGAGGAAGAGACAATACCTACCTTGGAGGGTCCTGATGACTGGCTGATGTCAGTACGGGGCTTAGACCAGTACTGGTTCTGTGAATGCTTAGAACACTCACGTCATCATCCACCGAGCGGCCCACTGAGGTAACCACAGATCTTGGGAGGCAGATGGGACTCTGGTTGGCTGCCAGGCTTTTTCCTCACCTGATGTGAGGGTGCCATGCATAACAACCCTTGCTCCATCACTGTGAGGTTCACCCAACATTCTCTGCAGTGTCCAGGCGCCGTCTAGCCAGGCTTTGCACCTGATGACAATTTGTTTGCCACCCCCAGGAGTGTGCCGATGCCGCCTCTCCAGCCCTGTCACTGGCTGAACTAAGAACAACGTGCAGCGAGAGTGAGCTGGCTGCAGAGTTCACCAATGCCATCCGCCGGTAAGCACCCTTCTATCCCAGGCCTCCTGCCACGTTTTCTTGGCTGCTCACATCAGCTCTTTGGGGATCACACAGCCTGCTGGGAAGGAAAAGATGCTGAGATGTTCTAAATTGGCCATGCCTTGGAGGCCGAAAACGGACAAGCCCTGTTTATGCCAGGCCTTTCAAAAGGGGAGTGTTGGGGGTGGGCAGTCATGCCATCTGCAGATAAGAAAATGTCTCTTCCTTTCCTGTTGTGCTACATTATTGCACTGGCTAGAAGTCTCAGGAAGCTGTAATGGTGACCATAAGAATGGGCACTCTCTCAATGCCACCTTTAGTGGGACTGCTTTCCTTTAGCATGGGTGGCCCCTTCCAGTGGGAGGCCTCTTATTTTTATTCTAGTTTGGGAAATTTTCCTGTTAGTTGGTTGTTTCCTCTTCTACAATCTGACCTGTCTTTTTGTAAAGAGAAACAGGTGCTAGAGCTTTCTTCCTTGTCCTCTTTGGTAACACTAGGATTTGATCTCAGGGCTTCACTCTCGCCTACTCCTTGAGCCACACCTCCAGCCCTTATCTGTCCTTTTGCTCTGGCTTCCAGAGCAGCTCTGTCCAATGAAGAAGTAATTTGAAGCAAATATGTAATTTAAAATTTTCTAGCAGCCACATTCACAAAAATAAAAAGAAACAGGTGAAATTCACTTAAAGAACCTATTTTGTTTAACCCAATGCACTCCAAATGTCATTTCAGCCTGTTTTCTACGTTACACGTACATCGGAGTACAGGGCCGCCAGCAGCACGTGGCTTTACTGGCTGTCCTGTTACTTGCAGTTCTTTTTCTTTAGATAGACGGATAGTTTCTTTTTTTAAATTGACATAGTAATTGTACAGATCTATGGGGTACTGTCGCATTTCCTAGACAGATTCTTCAGTTTGGTTTTCTAGCTCACTTTTTTTTTTTTCTTTGCAACCATTGAGGTCTTTGGACTACATTATGTTGCTTTTTTGGCAAGACTGGGGTTTGAACTCAGGGCGTCGTGCTTGCAAAGCAGGTGTACTCTACGGCTTGAGCCTCGGCTCCTGTCTATTTTACTCTGATTAATTTTGGAGATTTTGGGTCTTATGAACTACTTGCCCTGCTGGCCTCAAACCGTGATCCTTTTGATCTCAGCCTCCCTAGTAGCTAGGATTATAGGCATGAGCCACCATTGCCTGGCGTATATGTCACATTTTTATTTCCATGATGACATGGTATACTGGTATCTCTTTTCATATATTTGTCTTCTGGGATTTCAGTCCATCCTGACTGATAACCCCTACCAAGTCACACATGTGACCTGAGCATCTGGTCTCCTCCAATTCTGACAATCAGCACCTCTGAATACCCACCTTTCTCTGGCAGCAGCTTTTTCTGTGTGCATGTGCGCTGTGGTTTCCTCTTTCAGGAAGAATAAAACTCTGCCTTTCATTTTTCATGGTTGCTCATGCTTTCTGGTGTACAAAAGAATGTGCCGGGCTTTTTAAGAACCTCACAAGTTTTATGAAATACCTTTCCCATCGTTTCAGGGGCTAGGGGTGGCAGGGAGGACTACAGTGTCCTCTGTCAGCTAACATGGCCCCACCGGAGCTGTTTATTTTACAGCATGGGCTCCCAGCAGATGCTGGTGAAGGCCACCTTGTGGGAGATTTCACTACTTCGTGCTTTACTCACCAGCACTTTTTGTCTTTCCTTCCAAGTGGTAATGGCTCTGTTTTTATGTTGCCAGAATCTCAGTGGTTACATTGTAATTGCTCTGTTTGGGGCAGGGAAAAGAGAGAGAAGCAGAGAAAAATGCCCAGAACAAATCTGAATGGCTTAACCATGCCACAGACTTCAGACAAAAATCCACCCTCTTCCAATAGGGAGCTATTCAGATACGGTGTCTGTAAACCGAGACCCTAAATTTTTCCAGTTCCCCAAGCTCTAGAGGCCTTTGCGGGCACCCATGGGATGCAGGTTTATGCTGACTAAACATAAAGAAATTTCACTTATTCTCTCAGCCACGATGGATTTCCAATAACCAGCCCTAAGTCGGTTAGCATGGATTTCTAATCAAAACCCAGATACATGGAGCCAAGAAGGAACCAGCAGGGCTAGAGGAAAAAGGAAAATAACATAATTATCCTGCAAATAGAGCTTAGAAACTAGAGTAACCATTTCACCAGGGTATATAATACAAACGCCTGAGGGCTAAGGTTTAGAAATGTTTTATCTTTAAAACTCAAGTGGAAACTAACAAACCCCTCAGTGCCTGGCTAGTGGCTGAGGTTAATTGAGGGAATCTTACCAAGATTTTTTAAGCACTTCTTGTTGAGGAAAGGATAGCTCCAGACACCAAAGCTGTGGGCCAGGAGTCCACACTGGGAAGAGCAGATGGAGATGAGAAGAGGGAAGAAGCTAAGCAGTGGGTCCTCAAGGAGAGCCAGCCATCCCAAAGAAGGTACCGTATGACAGACACATCAGCGCTAGGCCCAGGTCATTACCCTGTGCCAAGCCAGGCACCCCTCCCATAGCTGGGATGGGCCCTTATCAGCCAGGGCTGGCCCTGTTAATGTATCTTCTAATTTTCCTTCTCTTGTTTTTTTTGGCTGGGACTCATGCATGCTTGGCAAGTACTCTACCACTTGAGCCATACCTAGCCTTTTTTGTTTTTATTTTGTTTTTTAGATGGGATCTTGCTACCTTTGCTTGAACTGAGCTTGAATTCATGATCATCCTGTCTCTGCCTCCTGAGAATCTGAGATTATAGTAGTGTACCACACCTGGCTCTTTTTCTTTCTTTTTGAACAAAAACAGGACTCAGTGATATCCCACATTTACTGTGTAACTCCCATCTGGTCTGTCATTCCCTCCACTTCTATGATCATACATTGCAGTTAATTGGCTATGGTATGACTATAAAACCCCATCTGGATGCCCAGGTTTCCAGTTTTACACACGAGGTGTTTTCTTTTCAAGATGTCTTGCTTTTCCTCTTGTTACTTGGTACAAACATTTTTCTATCCCTCTCAAATCCCTTTACTAGTATCCCACAAGTGCTGGGGATCTTAGGACTGAATGATCTTTCCACAAAAGAAATGAGCTAGAAAACAACAGCTATCTAGGGGATTTCACAGATGACTTCTCTGTACTTTGGGGAGGGGAGGGGGTGGTCTATGAAGCCTGGCCTCAGGACCCAGGCACAGCTGAGTGGAGCAGACCATTTCATCTGTGTCAGTTGTGGGAGGCAGCGGAGCAGGTGCTGCTCTTCATAGGAGCCAGAGGAAAAATTGGCACAGCAAGGCTGAGTGATTTCCCAAGGTTACAGGGAGACAGTGGGGAAATCTTGTGTCTGAATTTTCCATGAGAAACTCTGCACACACACACACACACGCATTCACTATGCATGGGCAGAGTCAGGTTCATGAGCTCAGTCCACTCCTGTGTGCTCATTCCAGTCTCCACCCTCCACAGTGTGCACTGGTGTGGGAAGAAAGAGCCTGTGTGCTCCTGACACATAATCATGCACCTGTCTGCCAATGCTGGGAGCAAGTGAGGCACTGTTAGGGTGGCAGACTTCCTCAGATGCAGACCTGAGAAGCACTGCCATATGCCAACTGAAGTCATGCTGATGAAAAGAAAGGAAGCTTTGGTTCTTCAGTGCTAGGAGACAGGGAGAAACTCACACACATTCCCCTTTCACGTGGCCTTGGAATGTTGAGCTCTGAGATCAGGACCTGGCTCCAGGTTCAAAATCTGCAGAAGCTGGTGCCCTGCTCCCACAGAGGCTGTGGTCATTTAATCAGATGCCCCTCTTTTCTCTCTGAATGGTTTTACATGACAGAGAACCCGTGGCTTGGAGACAGAGTGTGCATGTCAGTCTCCTATAAGAAGACATCCAATGGCAGGTAAGCCCCAC